GACGTAAGTAAACAATCTCCTGTAACCAACACGCGTCTATGCCTGGTTAATTTCACCCCATCCATCACTACCCGCCTGTTGAGGCAAAAGGTTTACGGCCCGGCTCCAGGAGTCAGCAAGCAGCTGACTGGCCGCTGCTCTGATTCCCGACAAATGGTAAGATGGTAGCAGTATAAAAAAAGAAACGGGGTTACAGGAATCCATTTTTTTTTTTTCGGTAAATTAAGAGTCCGCTTTACCCCACTATGAAATAACTGTGTATACAGAGAGAGTTATGTTTTGCTTCAGTGCTCCCTGCTTTGTAGTTTAAGTGTTCACTAGAGGTGCACCAATATATTGGTCTATATTGGATTGGCACCGATAAAAAGAAAATAAATGTTATCGGCAATTGGCATTTTTTGGCCAGTGTAGCTGATAATGTCACCGATAAATGCTGCGTGCATGTGTGCAACCAGGAATGCAACCAGGCAGCTTGGAGAACACTGTCCAAATGGTAAGCCTGTGGGGAGGGGAGGAAAGGAGGTGGGGGTGCAGACTGAGGCCCCCATGGTGAGGGAGGGAGTGGGGCAGCAAGCACTGTGCAACCAGGGCAGTGAATGTGACCCTGCTGGGAGCAGGACTGAACCATGGGCAGCTCATCCAGGGGGCATGGAGTAAGGAAGGCTCCCCGCCACCGCATGCACCACTGAGGGAGGCATGGGGGTCATGTGCCCCCCCCGGATTGGTGCGTCGGGTGAGGGCAGGCTGCCCACTGCAGGCTTAGGGCCAGGGACCATGCTGACCCATTCCCAGCGGGTGGGCTGGGTTATGGCTGTGCTCAGGCCAGATGGCACTGGCAGCACTGGGAGGAGATGCTACACGGTGGCTATAGCCACCCCAAAATTCCCCAAAGCCACAGCATAGTGCTGCCACCAACTGCCCTGCCTCCACCCGGTCCAAGCGCAGCCCTGGCCCAGCCCCACAACGAGGAAGAGGCCCGCACAGCTCCCAGCCCCGAGCCTGCAGCGAGGAGCTCTCCCTCACTGCTGATTGGTTGAGCGTGTTGTCCATCATGAGGCCCCTCCCCTCACTGCTGACTCACCGAGAGGGCTGTTCATTATGTGGGCCTGCCCTTCACCACTGATTGGCAGAGAGGGGCAGGGCCACACAACAGGCCAATCAGCAGTGAGGGGTTCCCCTTCTCACCAGTGGTGGCCCCTCTAGGTGGGCTGCATGGCCAAGCTGCAGCAGCCATGAGCATTTTATTTTTAGTCCCCCTGCCCCGGGATTTTGCAGACAATGCCTAATTTTGTGATTTTCACCAAATCCGTAAAATTGAGAATCAATAAGGTCCCCGTGTATAATGCACACAATTTCCAGCAGCTAGTTTTTGGGAAAAGGGAGCATGTGTACATGAGAAAAGGCTGTATTTTCTATCTGTTTAGTAAAGCTATTACTAGAACTAGAAGTTTACCACATCATTCTCTCCAACATCAACAATAAAATATATTGAGACCCTCCCCCCCCCCCCCCCCAAATTGAAACAACCCCCCCCCCCCCCCCCCGAATAACTGAAAAAGCTGTACATTGGGCAACTCAAACGAATAATCCACTCTCTTTGCCGGTAAGAAAAAAAGAGTAGAGAACAACTAAAGGATCACATTCTACTATGCCAATACTTCTATTATACACACTCCCCTACCTCACCATGCCATCAGTAGCACAAGTCAGGGAGAACCAAATGTCCGTGTTCATCTGTCTGCAGCCACTTATACATCCATTCCAGTGTGGCAGAAAGGCAGGTTCCACCAGAATAAACACGCTGTGTGTCAGTACCCTCACGTGCCAAGTCCCATCAAAGTCTCAACAGGAACAGGACAGAGGAAGGCTGCTGCTTGATCATGAATAAAGGCGAGAGCCTGCAGTGTTGGGAGTGCCCAGCCTGTAGCACGGCAGAGGCCCTAGAGGACCTGCTCTAAGAGCCGAGGCAGATCCACCCCCCACTGTAATGAAGTCTGCTCCCAAACAGAAAACACTACCTGACAAAAGACCCAAGAGGAGGCTGGGTACCAGAACTAACCTCCCTGCAGAGTCCTGCAGCCATAACCGAGGCTGGGTACGAAACCCAGCACAAGGCACAGCTGCCGAGGGGGAACAAGGAGATCAGCGCCGCAATCGCACCTGCCTTCTCTGCCTAGCATCCAGGCGAGCCCAGGGCCTACGTGAGGAGCGAGCCGGCTCGCCCAGCGCCAGCGCGGCTGGGACGCTCGGGCCGGGAACGTTCCAAGCAGCCGCGAGCTCACCAGCCCGCGCCCGCACAGCCTCCAGCAGCCGCGTCCCGGCCCCGCAACTCACCACACCCGAGCAGCAGCCGCAAATCCCGACACTTCCACGGAGGCCACGCTGCCTCCCTCCCTTCCGGTGCAGGAGCACGGGGGACAGCAGTGGTGGAGGCGGCCGCCCTCTGCCGGCCTGGAGGTCTCCTCCCAGGCTGTCAGTCACAACACAGGGATCGTGCCTGTGGGGCTCAGCGGGGTGTTGGCAGCTTTGGCCCTGGCAGCACGGAGGGTCACGCGGGGGCTCATTGACCCTGCCCAGAAAGCAACAAAAGGTCCTGCCTGTGTACTCGAGCCGACCCTGCCGCGCGTGTACCTTTCCCGGCTCCCTGGGGAAGCTAGGAGCCAGTGAGGGACATCACAAGGATGAGGCTGGGCAGGGTTTTGGGGTGTCTTCTGAAGTGTGTGCACTGAATTTTCCTTAGGAGCAGGGGGGATTCCCTCTACTGGCACCAGGCACCTTCATCCTCTAAAACTGGGCCCAGACCCTTGTATATACACGTAAAAACAAACAGCTTAATTAACCAAAGCAGTTCTGCCAGCACAACACTAGGGTGTCCATTGTTTCCTGCTCCATGTATCCAAGTGAGAAGACCTTGTGCTTGGGGAAAGGAAATTGGATCAGTATTAAGAGAGCTGCTTACAGAGAGAGACCCATGGCAGCCAGCTTTCCAGCTGGACATTCACCATTTGTGCATCCAGGCCCGTTGTTCCATCTTTTCTTGGTGGCAAGGGTGATTCTTGTACAACATTTGCTGATTGGTTTTCTGGTGCAAAGTATCTATACAAGGCAGTCTCCTTTAAGTCAATTTCTTTACTATCAAATATGATAAATCCAAGAAATAAACATAAAAAAATGAAAAATCAAGCAAAAGAGAAAGATAAAAATAAAATAACTAGAAAAATATGTGCATGTTCATTTCTTTCCTTTTTTACCTGACAGGAAAATGGATTATCTATTTCTAATAGAATGCGGTATTTCTATAGATTTCTAATGGAGTTCTGACAAAGTCAGTGCAAGTATGCTTAAAATTAGACTGGCCAGCTTTGTCTGGATTAAAGAATGCATATTTTGCAGTCTCCTCAGCCTGCCTGCTTATGTCAAGTATGCAAACTGGGAGAATATTAAAATGCACAAGAATCATCTTTAAATAACATTGATTGTTTTGGTGTGTTGAGATATTTCAAGATCTGGAGGGAGGTGTGGGACAGACTGTGACAGCTGAAAACTATGTCTGTGTGATAAAGGTGCTTGCTGAGCGCTCTGTGAGGATTAGACCAGGTGTTTTTGTTGTTTGTTTAGATATTGTACATTGTATGTTGCTGCTAAGAGCCTAATTAAAGTCGAAGATTAGTGAGGCCTTGTATATAGTAAGGCCTAGTAAATTTAGCAAGGCCTTGTAGAAGTAGTAGTAGGCCTTGTGGCATAGTCAAAATTAACCTTATCAGAAGAATGCAAAGGCTTGTACTGCTATTGGTCAGTACTAAGGAAAGTTTGTAGTGTGAAAATGTGAATGGCTGTAAGTTATCAGCATAGCTCAGAAGTTATAAATTGGCTAGCACATCTGGAAATCATTAGACAGAAGATGCAGCAGTCTGAGAGAAGCTTCTGATTTAAAATTAGCTGCTGACCTGGATTCGGTGGGCCAGTGGATCTCAAGAAGCATGAGGACTGAATACCAGGGTCCTTCCTGGTACTCCTCGGACAGCGCTGATCGGGGACACCTGACTTCACTGAGCTTTGTAGAAGAGGAACTTGTCGTACATCAGGCATCAGAGGGGACCGCTTTTAAGTTGCCGACGCGAATTGTTATTGTCTGTCATTGTTGTCTTATTATATTACGTGTAGTTGTGTGTGTTTGTTAAGTCAATAAACCTTTCTTACCTTTTTACCCCTGACCACTCTCTCAATCCCGAACCCTCCGCTGGTGGCTGGGACACAAACGTTTAGAAACAACACATGCTTACACAGTGGCTTTTCCATAAATTATATTTATGCATGAAAAATGGAGAATCATGCATACTGGCAGGCACTTTGGCAGCTGCTATTTCAGTGCATGACAGTCTATAGAGTAAAGGTGCCTCTTTTTAGGGAATGATTGCACAAGCAATGCAAGTAGGAGCAGTAAAAAAAATGTTCCTGGTGTCTAATTTTTCACAAATGTCTAAGCGATTTCAGGAATTAAGTTCCATATTTAGAAATAACTCATCTGTTTGTGGGAACATGTTCACTCTGTAACAGGGTGGCCTCCTCATTAGGTCTCCACCAGCAGCCCTGCTCCTGGGGTAACCACCCACTTCACTCACCTGCCACACCTTGATGGAAAAATATGAGAGTTGTTACTAAGGCAGCTACCCATTACTTGCCCTGCTGACAAGGGCCTTAATACCCGCTCCAACCTCCTTGCCACAGGTCCCATGCCTCGCAGATGTTACTCTGTGTGTGTCCCCCCACAGCAAGCAAAGTTCTAGTTTTCCAGGCAATTGGTCCCTGTGCTATTTTAGTCTACAACAAGGTGTGTTGTATGGTCCTTCCTGCCTCTTTCAATTTGTCTTTTGTCTGTTCTGATTACCAACAAGAAAGATGAGGTTGATGTCATATACTTGGATTTCAAAAAAATCTTTGACTTGGGCTCCCACAATGTGTTCATGGTCAAATTGGGGAACTGCAGAACTCGATAAAGTTCACAGATGACACCAAATTATGGGGGACTGTGGTCAGGATGGAGGATAGGCTGGGGATACAGGCTGACCTGGACAGGCTCGCAAGGTGGGTGGATCAAAACCTGATGATGTTCAACACCAAAAAGTATAAGGTGCTCCACCTGGGGTGAAACAACCTGCATCATGCTTAAAGGCTCAGCAGCACTACACTTACTAGTGCTACAACTGAAAGAGACCTCAGGGTCTTGATAGACCAGGGGTCAGCAACCCCCAGCACATGTGCTGAGCACGGCACATGAGGCCATTTTGCTTGGCACACCACCACCAGTTTGGGTTCTAGGCAGCTGCTGCCAGCCACGAAGCCCTGGTGGGCAGCTGCAAGCCCTGCTGCAAGCGGACCAGGCTCCGTGGTTGACAGCAGCTACCCAGAGCCTGGGCCAGTTGCAGCCAGGAGGCTGCAAACATCTGCTCCAGGCTCCGGCATTAGCTCCATACTGGCGGGTGCACGCGCGCCTTGGAGCGGATGGTGGGGGAGCGGCCTGAGGCAGCGCAAGCCCAGCCTCTCCCCCACTGCCACCACAGAGCTGATGGCTGGGCTCTGGAGCCTGGTGCAACTATTTGTAGCGAACCTGGGCTCTGGGCAGCTGCAGCAGGCAGCGGGCAGGCTTGGCATCAGCTCCATGCTGGCGGTGAATGCACGTGCACCCCAGAGCGGACAGCGGGAGGGCTGTGCTGCCTCAGGCCCTAGCCCCACTGTCTGCTTTGAGGTGCATGTGCACCCGCCAGTATGGAGCTGATGCCAGAGCCCGGAGCAGCCGTTTGTAGCCTCCCAGCTGCAGCCAGCCCAGGCTCTAGTAGCTACTGCCAACCATGGAGCCCAGGCTGCTTGCAGCAAGGATGACAACTGAGCCTGCCTGACTCCCACCTGCTCCGAGCCCAGCCCTGGCCCAGCCCCCCGACCAGGATGAGGTTAGCACTGCCCCTTGCCAGGAGCACCGCACCTTTTGTGGGCTTACCTGTGCGGGGTGGGTGGGTGGTTGGGCTGATGGGCAGGCTCCGGGCCAGGGCCTCCGCCTGCTGTGCTGCAGCCTGGGGCCTGGCTCTCCAGGGAAGCACAGGGGCTCTGGCACGACCAGTGCATTGTTGGGTTGGACTTTGTCCAGTGGCCCAGGAGCATGGCTCCGTGCACCTGGTTTTGTGTTTGTCTGCCTCGGTCTGGTTCTGGATGTGTGTGTGCATATGTCTGTTCTGGGTGTGTTCTGGTTCTTTGTGTTTGTGCATGTGGTTCTCTGTGTGCATGTGTGTATGTGTCTGCTTCTCTCTCTCTCACTGCAACATGTTCAACAAAAAAGGAATACACAACAACAAAGGCAACATCTATGATTATTAAACATACTAATATGCAGTGCGTCCTGACATATACCCCCCCCACCCCCAATTTTGTTTTTCTGGCATGCTGGAACTCCTGCACCTTCCAAGGTAGACATTGTGGGGTTTTTGGCACTCTGGCCAAAAAATGTTGCCTACCCCTGTGATAGACCATAGAATGAACTTGAGCCATCAATGTGATGTCGTAGCTGGCAAAGCAAACACAACACTAGCATGCATCTATCGATGCATCTCAAACAAGACTAAGGATGTCCTCCCCCTGCTTTACTTGGCCTTGGTTAGGCCACAGCTGGAGTACTGCATCCAGTTCTGGGCACCATCCTTCAGGAAGGATGTGGAGAGACTTGAGAGGGTCCAAAGGAGGGCTATGCATATGGTTAGAGGTATGGAGAGCAGGGCATATGATGAGAGGCTGAGAGACATGGATTTGTTCAGCCTGGAGAAGAGAAGATTCAGATGGGACTTGGTAGCAACCTATAAGTATGTAAGGGGCATATATCAGGGACTGAGGGAACTTCTGTTCACCAGGGCTCCCCAGGGGAAGACTAGGACTAATGGTCATAAATTGCTAGAAGACAGCTTTAGATTAGACATAAGGAAAAATTTATTTACAACTCAAGTATCCAGGGTGTGGAATAGACTCCCCCCCAATGGTGGTGCAATCACCTATTCTGGATATCTTCAAAAAACATCTGGACGCTCACCTTGTTGGGGTCATCTGACTCCAGCAGTCTTTCCTGGCCAAGCGCAGGGGGGCTGGACCTGACTATCTCAAGAGATCCCTTCCAGCCCCTAACATCTAGGAATCTATGAAACATAACTTTCCTATTACTTTGTGAGTACACAGGGGATACACCTGGGCAGCATTCTCTCTAAGTTGTGTGGTGTGCGCGGCTGCATGGCATGAGAGCACCTGTGTGGCCGCGCACTCCACACAGCTTAGCGGGAACACTGCACCTT